TTAATGGATTAGTTTTAGCTTTTGAAATCATGCTAAAATCTCGTATCTGCTCTCATATTATCCTGTGGTTGCTTTGTTTGCTGTCACGCTACAGACCAACCATTTTAGAGTCCACTTGGAAGTGGACCGAGACCCATTTGACTTTGAATAACAACTTTTACACCAGCCCAAATGAATCATATTAACTTAGCAAATGGACGTGAGTTTGTTTCAGCTGAACCAACCAGGTTAGGTGTGAAAGCATGCTAAGTGCATACTGCATTATGGGTTGCTTGTAAACTGAATGTTGCTAGGCTAACATGTGTTCATGTCGGTTTAGTTAGCCTAGTTTAACATACAAGACTTTCTAATGGCTCTGGTAATGTGTTTTGTTGACTAAATGTGACAAAAGCTTCTCCCAACGTCTTTACTGGAGAATGAGTCATCAGTCAAGCAGCCAAAAATGACAGGTGTCACACAAAGTCGTGATGCAAAGCTAATAAAACTAACTGGCTGGCAATTTTATGCCTCTTGTCAAGTTCCAGTCTACATCCCTGGGCTAATATATGTAGTGAAGACCTTATTAAATGCATTTTTGGCAAAATGGAAGTTATCACTATATTAACATGTTTCCAGTGAATCATTTCCAGTGAGAAACATGCTGTTTTCATTTAAAGACTGTTTTTACAGAGTGCGGAGGACTGATAGAGAGCTTCATCACATGGTGCAACAACAATCACCTGAGGCACAATATATACAAAACCGCAAGCCTGTGGTGGACTACAAGAGGAACAGGAGAGAACATAGAGTTGCAGCTATGACAGTTGACAATGCTTCAAATATGGGTGTTGCTGCAAAGAAGCTTCATATTCTAAAACATGGATGCATCACACACATCTTCCCCCCGTTTGCACAGAAGATTTATTCAATCAGCACAGTTTCAAGGTGGACACCCAAGATTAGTGTCACTAGTTCTGTATCTGACCAAATGTCTCTCCTTCTTTTCTTGAGATATGACGTTGAGTAATGGCCAGAAAAGTGTTTTTGCAGAACATTATGATGTCACAGTGAAGCTGACCTTTGACCTTTTGGATATAAATGTCACCACATTATTTTATTCTATTACACGTTTTTTCCTAATTAGCATATGAATTCTTGAGTTTGGGTATAAAACATGTTTTGTGAGGTCATAATGACCTTGACCTTTGACCACCAAATTCTAATCAATCCATCTTTGAGTCCAAGTAGACATTTGTGCCTACGTTAATGAAATTCCCTCAAGGCCTTCTTGAGATAACACATTCACGAGACTAAGACAAACACAAGGTCACAGTGACCTTGACCTTCAACCACCAAAATCTAATCACGTCATCATGGAGTTGTAGTGGACATTTGTGCCAATTCTGAAATAACTCCCTCAAGGTGTTGTTGAGATATCACATTTACAAGAACGGGACTAACAGACAGACAACCCGAAAAACATATTACCGCTGGCCTTTCTCTGGCAGAATGCCAAAAATTGCAGTTCTTTGAACGACTACTTGAGGCAGTTCCCACAGGCCGCCATGTTAAAATGACCAACTTAACAGCCGAAATAAACATGTTTTACAACCTGGTACAAAAACAGTTTTTGTCTCTATAGCTAATTTCCCCCTTAATTAGAACTGTACAGTGGGTGAATTTCTATTTAACACACCCATTTACATTTTATTAAGGCCTAAAGTTATAAATAATTAAGGGAGGGCCACTCTATAGGCTGTCTGCCAATACTGACCCCTCGCTCCTCCACAGCTCCACCCTCTCGCCCAAATATGATCACTTCTGGCTCCAAACAACCAAGATGGCAACAGCCAAACAGTTGCCAAACTTCAAAACAGGAGTCCACAAGCCAACAGGTGATGTCACTGTACAGTAGCTACATCCATTGTTTTATACAATCTATGGTGCGCCAGCTTAAAAACATGAGTGTAAACGGGCACTTGCATTCTAATCAGGCTTATATTCGGGCCATATTTCCTTTCATGTTTCATCTTGTCACCTGTACCTCTGGCAGCCCCGATACAAGAAGTACTTAACCAAAAATATTTGAGAATAGTGAGACCAAGTATCTTCTCCAGCTGTGCATAGATGACCATTATGGTTAACATACAAACAGAGTGACAAAAAAATAACCATTACATTGCAATTCTCTAACCCAATTTTTCTGTCACTGCAGGTTAAATACATCGTTTGAAGTCCATATTAAATTGAGTACTAATACTGTGTAATTATACTATAGCAATACTATAACAATAAGTGACTTCTAATAAGACATTCAAAGCAACCAATCAGGCAAAGCCCAGTCCAGAAGTCCAGACTCCTCAACATGTCAGACTGAAATCAATCCAGACAAACATAAATAGTAAGAGAATGTCATGTTATAATTATGGGTCAAACAGAGGTGACATATTTGTTGCTGATAGGCCCAGAGGCAGCTGCATCACTTCTTTGGTACAACGTGTTTACTGTGGCCTTGTTGAACCTGACTCTTCATATCGCTCCTACACACAGACCACTGTCTGTTCACAGGGGTCATGCTGAGTGCAGAGCCACAGCAGTTTGCTCAGGGAGAACTCCTCTGTGATAGAACAGAACATTTACTAACAGCATCTCCTATAAGTTGACCTAGTAATGGTCGATTTAAGATTCATTGGGTAATATTTATTCATGTCACTTGTCTTGCTCTGTCTCCTGTCATTGTCTTTATGCAGCTCCAGAGAACATCTTATTTGCTGCTGTCTGTTGAAAACCTCCTGCTTTACTTCATGCTTTCAGGTAAATCAAAGATATTATTGTACCTACTCTGAGTTCAGAATTTTAGTGAGGAACAGTTGAACATTTTGCAAAGTACAATTATTTGCTCTCTTTTCAGTGAGCTGTTTGGAAGGCTATTAGTCTCATGTCTGTGTGTTACTGTTAAGTGCAGAGCTGAGGTCAGGACATGGTTCATCTATTTTCGCATAAAGACTGAAAACAGAGGGAAGCAGCCAGCCTTGCTGTGTCCAAGCTCAAAATTACACATACCCACACCTCTAAAGCTCACTAATTAACAAACTGGTGTCTCAATTGTCTAATCTGTACAAAAACAGAAATATATAAATCACAATGTATGGTTTTATGAGGAGTTAAATCTTGGAGCTATTTCGGTTTTCAAAGCCACTTACAATATTTCTCCTCACACACTAATATAGAAGAAGCACTGTGGGGTTCAGTGTTTTGCTCAACAAGACTTGACATCTTGACAGAGGGGGCTGGGGATTGAACCAGCAACAACTAGGGCTGACAGCCAACATTTATCACAACCTGAGCAAGAAGTTAAGTATTTACAACCATGGAAGTGGCCTCATGAGTGTAACTGTCAAACACATTGAATATCTCTCATCTTAAAAGTGGATGTAGTGACAAGAACAAAAATCAAAGAGATAAGAGAGGCTGACAAAATAGATAAGTGAAAATAACATTTCCTGTATATTTTCACTTGTAAATTCCACATATACTGTACTTTTTCTATATCATGATATATATTTAAGAGATGGGGTGGGTGATATATCAAATTAACTTGATGTATCGCAGCTATTTCCATGTGGGATGTATAAAATGACCATATTGAATATAAACTGTCATGTCGTTCTTTTTAAGGGTTGCATTTTGTTACCAACTGCGGCTTGCAAATATTATTAATATATAGCATGGAGAGGCGTTAGTTTGTTTCCAGCCCTGCATATCCACTGGCTACACTGGAAGCCCTACTGTAGCAATACTGCTGGTTGCCCAGAGGCTTATCATCATCAGACCAATAATTGACAGGGTTTCCAGATTACAATTAGGCCGGTCACGATAATTACTTTTGTTGAACAATATATTGTCCCTGAAATAACAGTAATAAATGATATTATTGTCATTTTCATACCATTTTAGTTGATATATTAATATAATAAATAAATAAATAACATAACCAGCACTGCTCACAGTAGACTGCACCATGGACACTTTATAGACACTATGGACACTTTATAGACACTATGGACACTTTATGGACACCACAGCAGTCTGCTGTTTTTGCACATACAATCACTTGCACCTTATCCACTGGTCATTTTCATTCACTGCTGCTCATTATTATCCACTTCCTATTATTTTTATTATTATTATTATTATTGTTATTACTGTCTCTTGTATTTTTTGTACTTATTTGCATGCCTAGTTATTTAAGTTTTTTAAGTTTAAATTTGAAATCTTTAATCTGACTTTCTCCTTGACTGCTGTAACACTGGAATTTCTCAATTATGGGATCAATAAAGGTGCATCTTATCTTATAATAGCATAATAATGCAGGTAGACCCTTTCAAAGAGCAATGATCTTTTAATTCCACCAGAAATGACTGCAAACCAATCTCATTTTTCTATTTATTCAGCTTAGGGGCTGTAAATAAAACACATCCACATTCAAGTTTTCTAATAACCAGGAAAACCCTGCTGTTTATTCTGGCATTATGTCGGCTAATATGTTGATGACATTCTTATGTAAACACAACAGTTAATATTGTACTATACTTGGACATGACCTGGGTCATTTTTGCTGACCTCAATAAATCAATAACAGAATTGTGGTAAGAGGCCAAAAAGAATTGTGCTTATATTGTTATGAATGTAAAATTATCATTAAAGTAGGCTAATCCGTTTTAATCCAACTTAATACATGTTGAAGTTAACTAATTTACTGAAATTTACTGTGATATATAATTACAGTGCACACATACGGTGGGGTCTCCAAGTAGTCAGGTACATTCAAAATACTAATCTGTTTTATGTGGCGCGTTGTTTTGCATTCTTAGATAAATTCATAATGTTCCTGTTATAAAGTCACATCAAAATCTTATCAGTCATGTCTAAAACATAGTTTCTGCTCACCATATCAACACTGCAGGATTCATTGTAATGTATAAAGAGTAAAGACAAGAGCAGAGTTTTTGCTGACTCACCCTTCCCTCTGTGTTGACAGGCCTGGCATGGCGATTGAACACATGAGCAAGGTCTTTATGATAAACCTTGAGACAGGAGTGGGATGGGATGTTTCTGGAAGCAAAGAGAACGCACAAAGTGACAGTTTAATGTGTGTGTGTGTGTGTGTGTGTGTGTGTGTATGCGTGTGTGTATAAAGTCCTACAGAGGGACAAACTGGCTGACTGGCTACTGGATCTTATATCTTCTGATAAATATGACTTTATTTAGGTAAGCGTTGAACCCTGTCTGTCTTCTGTTACCGGACAAGGCGCTGAGACTTTCTAAACCAACCCTATCCCTTAAAAATTACACTGATATACTACTTATTTGCAAAAGCAAATCAAGTTATGTCAATTTTATTTGTACAGGCCAACATCAAAAATTTGCCTCAAAAGGCTTTATAATCTGTACAGTATATGACATCAACTGTCCTCAGACCCTCAATTCAGTCAAGAAAACAGATGGGATGAGGGTTCTTTGGGACAGGGACCACTGTGCATGCACAGGTATTCCGTCTGGTCATGCTGCCTTTGTGGTTTTGAATTTCCTCAGGCTCCTCCTAATGTTGTGCAATGATACAGTAACTGCATGTTCCTCTCCAGTGGGGACTTCCAAGCCCTGATACAACAGTTTTTCAGCTGCTGGTAGTGTTAGTCTTGAAAATTTGAACTCTTCAGCCAGAGAGATTTCCGAAATCACCGTCTGTTGGAACCAGTATTCCCGCTTCTTCCCGTAGCCTTGCTTAGCTTCCCTCACTGCTCTGTAGACATTTTATGATGCAGCTGTAGGCCTCCAAAGCGTCATGGATGGTGAAATCCACCCATGACTTCTGGTTGAGAAAGGTCCTGATGGTCACTTTAGAAACAACATTGTCCACTAATTTTCTAAGAAATCCCACAACAGTCTGTTGATGCATTGATGTTGTTATCAGAGCTGCACCAGAACATGTCCCAGTCTGCGTCACACAGAGCGTCCTAAAATGCAGCCTTTGATTGGTCAGTCCTTCATGTGACCTCTCTATGAACCTGAACTTCCTGTCAGCCTTTGTTCCACACAACAACTACGGAAACAACTACTTCCAACTGAACATAGCTAATGCACTTATGTGTGGACATTATGAATAGGTAGAAAAAATAATAATTAATGATAAAATATTCAGGAATATGGTGTATATACATATAGTATGTCATTTTATGTTCACCCTGTATTACAATAATAACTCTGTGTTGGTGTATGTAAGTTTAATTGTTGATTTCTCCTTACCTGATGTCATCCAGGTCGTAGTAGACGTTGCGGCTGGTGTCTTTGATGTAGATGGCCATGTTGGGAGACTGTAGCATCTTCATGGTGAGCTGATGAGGGAAGGCAGTGACAAACAGAGCCCGTAGAGCGTCCCGACTACTGATCTCAGCGGGCATCCTGACCTGCTTTGTCTCCTCCCCATACTGCAGGTACAACACACCTAACAGAGCACACACACACACACACACACACACAGGGTTTTAGTGTCTCACAGGACTCTGCAGTGTGATAATACTGCCACATGTATCAATCTGAATGCAACATGTCTGACATAATCCAATACCACAGTTAATACGCTGTACAAATCAAACACTTCCCTTTAACGATGCTGTTGGTTCATAGTGTTATTTAGGTATTACATCAGATACCTAATATCAAAGGACTCGGATCAGAAAACCTTGAAAGTTTATGATAACACTTGCAATTAATGTATCTGTGTGCGTGTGTGTGTGTGTGTGTGTGTGTGTGTGTGTGTGCATGTCTCCCTACCAAGCGGCATCTCTCTTGTCTGACCACTTGACCGGCCCACAGGTAGACTTGCTCTGGCTTTACAGCCCCTTGTAAAGGGGACTGTGGGGGGCAGCACCTCTCCATCAGACATTGTCTCTAAAGCCAGAGGATCTTGCTGCTCTGTCAAGCCCACCACACTGGCACAGGTGGGGCTTTCAGAGGGCCTAGGACTCCTTGCCTGGATGGAATGAAAAAGGAGAGAAGAGCAGACTGAATTACACTAAGATCACATGGGATTCTAGTCCTGCAGGAAGAATAGTAGCATGGAAATGTAGAAAAATGTAGAATGCGTTTGAATGATGATGAGACAGCTTCCAGAGTTGGTCTTTTGAGAGGGGCAATATGTATTTCTTACAAAGAGACAAATATTAATACAGCTACCTCTGCCACTGCTTTCCGCCACCAGAGGAAAGCTTCATGGATTTCCATTCTTATTGTATATGTATTGGTCACAGCCAGCACTCACATGTCTGTAACATCCACAATGCTTGCCATCATTGTCTGAAAGTCTCTCACTGTGGCAGCCAAGTACACTCAGGATCAGAAATAGGTTTGCCAGGTAAATTTAACAATATAAAATTCACATACAAGGAATTTGCCTTAGTGTTTGATCCATAGCAATAATCGTAGTAGAGAAAAAAAACATACAAGCAAGTTCTTCAAAGGGTTGAGAAACGCAAATAAAATACAACAAAGTTACAATTAAATTAGAAATATGTCCAATATATCTATTCAAAAATGAATTGCATAACAGTTTTGTGCAAGACTGTGCAAAATATTGTCCAAGAAATGTGCAAAAAGTCACAGAATAATTTATTGAGATAATGGGCAGTTATGCACAAAGATGAAAATCCAAACTAGAATTACTGCCTCGCAATTGTATGCCTCTGCGCACCAGTCAAGTTGCACTTACAGTTTACATCAATGTCTGTGAAACACATCTACCTCTAACAGCAATGAAAATCTTTACAATCAGCACAGTTTCAGGGTGGACACTCAAGATAAGTGTCACAAATTCAGTATCCCACCAAATATTTCCTCTTCTGAAATTTTGTCATAATGAGCATATGAATGAGCATATGAATTCTTGAGTTATGGTCAAAAGCATGTTTTGTGAGGTCACAGTCAATTGATCGATCAATTAATTCTTGAATCCAAGAAGTCCAAAAATTTGAGAAAACCCCCAATCAGGTTTGCTGAAATATTGTCCACAAGAATGCCATCAATGCAAGGTCACACTGACCTTGACCTTTGACCACCAAAATCTAATCAGTTCATGATTGAGTCCAGCGGATGTTTCTGCCATATTTGAAGAAATTCCCTTGTTCTTGAGATATCATATTCACCAGAGTAGGACGTACATCAGATAATCCAAAAACATAATGCCTACAGCCACAGCTATTGCCCATGTGGAGGCATAAAAATTTCAGAGATGTGTGTTAATGTAACCCACTGTGACAGATGTTAAGACTTCTGTATCATGAAGTGTCTATGGAGCTAAATGGGAGTCAGCGTCAGCATGGGGGTCCTGGGCCTTGTTGATTAAGACACCTGCAGATGGGAAGAAACTGTTTTTGTGGCCACTTCCTGCTTCACCTTTGACCTACTGCACTTACTGCAGTTAAGAGCACACAGTCGTCGTGTATAAAAAGGATTTGAAACATTTCATGAGTGCTCACTTTCAGTCGTTCTGTGGGTGAAGTATATAGGCTACTTGTAATGATTAAGGTTGGGGTGGAATGTTTTATGTCAAAGAGGGTCCTCACAAGGACGCACAAACATGTGAGAGTCTGTGTGTGTATAAAGCAGTGAGTTGATCAGAGATGATTGGTCTGATGTGGACTTCCTCTTGGCAGCACAGCCATGTGACTTGGTCCTGTATGCAGACGCTCTCATTGATGCACGGCCACTGAACTGATGTTTGAAACCTGACATGTGCACAAGTGCATACACAAGCACACATACAGAGACTGCACACACGTGAACACTGAGTCACTACACTATAATGACAAGGTAAGCCACACTGGGCTGAATAATGCCCTGTGGCTTACAGCCCACACATTCACAGTACTCTGCACACACTGCATAAGTTATGCTGCTGAGAATTAGTGGATGTCATGTGTCTGTAAAGATGCTAGACAGACACCATACTGTATATTACAATTGGTTTTGACCACATGCAAACTGAGTGGTCACCCAGAGTGGCATCAGCTCAGGGGGACGCGGAGCAGGAGTGGTGGTTTGGGAATCATGCTATGTCTAAACTGACAGAAAGACAGTATGGCTGTGGGGCGGGGCTTGTGAAGGTACTGTAGGTCATACAGAGTTCAGTGATGATGATGTGAGACCAAGCTGAGGGTCTGTTCAAACTAAAATATTATTCCTCCCTTTAAGACACTTACGCAACTCACACATCGTCTCCTTAACTGAAAGAGTCCTATTTTAATTCATTTAATTAAGGGGAATTTTATTGGGACATAGAACTCATTAGCTATGTTGAGTACATATGAGTAGTTACGATACGCGTGCACCTATCATGGTATCTCCTGACTCCAGGTTGTTAGCTGCTCTGCCTATCTGGTAGTGAATTTAACAGTCACAGAGGAACAAGAGGAACGGACTGAAAGAAGACGCTGCACACTGGTCAGAGACCTGTTTGTGTTGACCAGCTGTCTTTGGTTTTGAAAGGCAAAGCCACAGGAGTGTACTGAGCAATGTGCTGATTCTTCTTTATGTAGACTGTCCCTGCCATGTAGAGAGGTAGCTGGGCAGCCAGGTAACTACCTTGTTGAAACACGAACACCTACTTTTCTGTGCCGAAAACAAATTCTCTGTGTGCCTTCACCTGATTGTGAAATGTTCAGAAAACCTAGAGAAAGAGTCTGCCGCTGTCCCGTTATCTACAAAACCCTGTTTATCTATGGCTACTTGTACATGCACTAAAATTGCTTTTGCTCTTATTCCAAAAAAGACAATATTTCTACTAAGCTGTTTACATGTCTGATGAAAATGAATATTCCACTTATATTCCTGTTTACATGCAGCCGTGCATACTCTGATAAATGTGCTCTAATGTGAAGTTTATCATGTCATAATTTGGAATACAACAGCTGGAACTGCTTGTCTTTTGCTTCTTTGCATAAAAAATAGTGGTCCAAGTGGTGGTGGACTTGTTAGACTGTGTGAATGCAGCCTCCCTCTTTCATGCCTTTAACCACCTTCTTAAAAAGGTCAGTGTGGTGATATTTGAGCATATCCAAAAACCTGTTGATATCCAAGTCTTTCCTAATGTTTAAACAGGTTGTGTGTTACAAACTGCAGTAAAAACCCCACTTGAGACGCATACTCTAAAGGCTCTGTGTACATGAATGTGTACAGAATGTTTTTAAAACCTGAATAATACTGGCATATCCCATGGCTTAATCGAAAAAAGCTAAATCCACCTAATCCAGAAAATCCAAATGGAATATGCTGTTTACATGACTTTGTTTGAAATTCAGAATATTGTCATGTTCGGAACAATAGTTGAATATTAGTGTGCATGGGAATGCTTTCAATAAAATGCAGTCGAAAAGTGATTCTTATACATTTGACTCCTATTCCATACTTAAACGTTAATTGAATATGTATCTACATACATATACAATGAAAAAAACTGTAGTTTGGTCCATTTTTGGAACAGCCTCTTGATCGAAAAACTCATCTCAATTCAAAACTATTCATTTTATAAGCTTAAATTATTGACTTTATCGGAAGAGTGCAACTCTCGAAACAGATGTGAAGCCATCAGTTAAGCCCCTTTCCCACTGGGCAAAAAACCTGCTAACACCCACTAAAACCTGGCAATTATATTTACTGGGAAAGGTTACAAACTGCTTTCACTCAAACGACGCACAAATGACTCTGCAGTAGTCATGGGTATGTATCAGCCTCAGTTCCAATCAGCTCCGATCAGCAGTGGCGGAAATACAACACCCAGGTAAACACACACAACTTTAGCCTCTTTGCCTGTGCGATGCAATGAGGAACCACCTCAAATTACCATCCATCCCTGTCCAAGCAGCCCTCGAACATCATTCAAAATTTAGTCGGCACTGAGTTTGAGAGAGAGACTGAATAAGTATGATTCAAAATAAGAAGTAACCACCATGACATTTTTACTGGCCTCCCTACTGCTTTCCACTGTTTACTGACCCATTTTCCCACCTGTTCATGAAATCAAACATGACACACCAGAAGAAGGAAAAAAGGCTCTGGTCTACTGACAATGGGAGAGCAGTTTATTCCCATCTGTAATGGGTTTTCCTGTGTTTCGAAAAATCTGCATACACATGCTAATTTTGATGGGAAAAGGATGTGAGATGTAGTTGTTGGAGTTACCACTCACAGCTGTACAGTGGTGTTAGAGAGTGTAACTGTGTATATATTTTTCTAATTCATTTACTAATTTAATCACCTATTTTATAATATTTATTAATATTGTCTTTCATGTAATCAATTGTTTCATTCGTGGTCTTTCCATTGTAATTGTGCTTGGCAACACATGTTAAACATCATGCCAGCACAGCCTACTGAACTGAACTGAACTGAATTGAGTGGAGCTTCTTCTAGTGGTGGGCGATAAAACGATAACATATTGTATTGCGATAAACACTTATGTGTCGTCGATAGAAAAAAACGTTCGATATAACATTCGATAATGTTACTGTATTCTGTCGGGAAAAAACACGAGGAAAGCCGAGCAAATCCTCGGAGTTAGGTTGGTTGCATGAACACACTCACTTATCCCTGGTAACCCAGCAAGGGTGTCACGCAAACAGCTAACATTGTCAGGTTTGGTTGCGCCATCCTCGTGTGTGAACACAGGTCTGCTTACAAATATTGGTAGTCGCGGGTTACGTTTTTTTGGGCTTGTTTCTAAAGTGGAGTTGCTTATTTGGGCTTGCTCTCTAAACGTCAACTTTCTCTATATATATCTGTCTAATAAGTTATTTAAACGTATGACAGTATGTCGGACTGCTGGATGTTTCCACAGCTCCGCTCCTTCCGCCCCTCTCCTTCTCCGCATACACACAGGTGATGGTCAGTCAATGAGACTTCTCACATTTAAAATGCGACAATTTCGCTAACAAGTGGGCGAAATATGCAAAGAATACAATAAAGATTTGTAGAAAGAGA